TCCAAAATCTACTCTATGGATTTATACTGCCATAATCCGGCCAATGCTTTCTTACGGATGCGTGGTCTGGATCAATGTTATTAACAAAAGCAAATATTTAAACATTTTACAAAAGGTGCAGAGACTTGCTTGCCTATGCATTAGTGGGGCTTTAAACAGTACCCCTACTACTGCATTAGAATTTTTATTGCAAATTCCACCCTTGAAATTATTCTTGAGCGGAGAAGCCATGTATAAGTTGAATAAAAATGGCACATGGTGCCAAAGGACAGATTTCGGTCATAAAAGCCACCTGAAAAGCCACATTGACATATGCCTGGACTTGAGCAATGACATCCCTATAATCTATATGCCCAAAGATGAAATTACTAAAACAATAGTTCCAGATAAACTATTCTCAACTTATACACCAAAGAGGAATGAGATAGAATCTCTAATTGACCTAATTCCAACAGGATCAATTGAATGTTACACAGATGGATCAAAATACAACTTCACTGGAGCTAGAGCTATTATAAGAACCAAGGAATCTGGAGAAGATTTCATGAGATTTCATCTATACCTTGTTAAAGTAACAACTGTTTTCTAAGCCGAGGTTCTGGCGATCAATATGGTCGCCAGGGAGCTCTTAGCTAAAAATACAGTTGATATCTTCTCTCTGACAGCCAATCAGCCATCTTTGCCCTGGCTAATCCTGTCAGGTTACAAAACTGTGTTTTGAACAGTACTCAAGATCTCAATTCTCTGGTTCAGGCCCATAACACCATTAGTTTATTCTGGGTCCCAGGTCATTGTGATTTTGCTGGAAATGAACTGGCTGATAAAGTAGCTAAAAAAAAGCCTCACAACTACCCATGTCTGGCCCAGAACCATTTTACCCCGTTTCATATCAAACTGTTAAAAAAGAAGTAAGAAGCTGGATAAAGAACAAACATGATGATATATGGTCTGAACTACTAGACTGTGCTCATTCTAAATTGGTGCTCAGTACACTTAACTTATCAGGTAAACTCATACACCTCGGTAGAACTAACTTATGTCAGGTAATTCAAATTGTTACCCGACATGCTTATCTGGCCAAGCATCTCCAAAAATGTGGTCTTGTCGAATCTCCTCTCTGCCTAGCTTGTGGAGAAGAAGAGGAAACAAATTTTCACTTCCTGCGACGATGTCCGGAGTTTTCTGTCCCTAGAAACAAATTCCTTGGGTTTGCCTATATTAGCTTTGATCAAGCCCTTCTATACAAAGGGCTCTCTGTCATAATAGGGTTTCTGATGTATACTAAACACCTACAGGTAAGGTGAATTTGAAACCACAAGAAACAAAGCATTAAAACGCCCTGTGAGTTTTTTTTTTTTTTTTTTTTTTTAAGAAACTATGCAGGATTTCTCTCTCATAGCTGTGTTTTTGGATATAATTTGGAAATAATATCAAATCTTTATACACCACCTGGCCATTTGCTTGAGAAAGTACCTCTGCCCTCCATATTTCATTCATTAATTAATTTTTATTTATTTATTTATTTTTGTTTTAGACTCACCATCGCACCCTTGTTTGGTCAAAAGTTTGCGTTTGGTGGTTTGGGAGGGATTGAATCGGCTCTTCATCCAATTGGGAAGTTTTAACGATTTAACCAACACCCTGAATTTAGAGATGGGATCATTTGCTGATACTATATATTTGGTGTCATTTTGGGATCTATTTATTTATTATTTACCTTTCATGGGAGTTACCATTTAAAAACCTTTGATTTAAATGATCAAATAGCGGAAGACCAATGGGCAACATTGCCCAAACTCTTTTCCTTCTTTTCATAAGAAGGAAGCACCACTAATATTATGTTATGTTATGTTATCTAACAGATTTGCATTCTGATGAGGAAACGGAAAGGGAAAGTTATAGTAAAGGCTGAAACTATAAACAACTGGTTAAGCTGCAACATAATAATTGTACATATCTTTAAAGAATAATTTTCTTCCTTTTTACGTATCCAATTTTTTTCTTTAATTCATTTCCTCTTAATTTTAGAATTTTTGGATTTCTGTTATTCTAAAAATCTAAATGCATTTAGAATTTATAGAAAAAGCTGCCAATTTTATTTCTTTAGTAATATGAACATTCAGAATAAATATCAAATGCTATAATATGATAAGGCCCAGTTACAGAGCCAGTGTGGTAGAATTTTTAAAATTTAGTGACACAATAAGCAACAAAATCTAGAAATGGAAAAAATTTTAGAATTCAGGAGCCACAGAGATTGCATCAGGTGAGAAAATGCCCAGCAGCAGCCCTGTATATGAGGCACTGAGACATACAAGATGAATCTCTTAAATTGTCAGAATTCAATTTCTGCAGAAAAATTCCTTTCTATAAATGCCTGTCCATGTGACAAGATTATATGCATTTTTGATATTTCCCATGCCTATGTCTAGTGAAAAGTAGAGAAAATAAAAGGAAGACAAACATGTTAAGAAAAAGACTTCTAATATCAGAAGTAAAAACATTCAAATATGTTTTCATCGTTTTTCCGAAAATTTTCCAGAAAGTAAGAAATTTCTGTAAAATACATCCATTATGTGTTAATAACATGAAGACATTCTCATTTTGTCACATTTTTCTGGAATCATCTAGAATCATGGTCTATAAATCTCGTCTTTAAATCATTCTTAACTTTTCAAGTTGCAGTGTCTGCAATCCTAAAGAAAAATTACCCCTACCAATTCTGTAACAGCAAAATGCTAGAAATTTGAAAAAAAAAAAAAAAAAAAAAAAAAAAAAAAAAAAAAATCATGGGAAAAAAGTGTAAAATTAATTTTATAGAGAAAACATGCATATTCTGAGAAAATTACATGGGAAAAGCTCTTACTATGAAAAAATTTAAATTAATTTTAGTAGTTTCTGAGTTTAGTGGTATGAAAAATATTTATTTTTCAGACTAAATAATCAATATTTAATAAGAATATAATAATTATTATAATAAGTCACCAAAATGTGACTTTATAATATAACAGCAAAATATAAAAAAAATTTATTTTAAAGTTATTTCTTAAATATAATTTCAATATACTACCATTATTTTAATGAAATTTATAGATGTTATAGTGTTTAAAAAAATCATCAAAAACTTCCCAGAATTAAAAATTTTCTGTAGAAAGATAACTATATTTTTCACTGAATTGCCAAAAATATTCCTCACACTTAAAAATTCACACATAAAATGGCAGTCTTAAACACAGACAGAATTTTCAGATGATTAAAATTAAAAATCTTCTGCCAATTTTGGCCACAATTACGGACTTTTAAGGACCAAAAATCGATTCTAAAAAACCTAAGAACTCTTAAAGACTGTATGAATCCTGGCTAAATTAAAATAAAGAACCAAAAGGCTATATTACACTAAAAAACGTTTGAAAGTGTTATGAGAATAAATCAGGATAACAGCACATGCCACTTCTTCACTCTGAACAGACAGCCTTTTACTCTGAAACTGACATATAAGAGTGTAGATGTTCAACATACTGATTCGACTCAATATTTGGGTTGCATTCTTGGTCTATGCTTAAACTGGAGGAAACATGCAGACTATTTGAAATACAAAGCCATGAGAAAACTGTCTTAAAACGTGTGGCTGGCTGCATAACGTTCATACCAAATTTTACAAAATTTAATATTGAGTCGTAGAATCGAAATATGGGGAAAAATTGGCATGTCATTTCAGAAAAAGTCCGATTTTATGTCAAAACACCAATATTAGAACAATGCTGTATATAAATCTAATATATATCCTAAGTTGCACTTTCGAGACATTAAAAACACAATTTAATTTCATCAATCAGCCCAGTAGAACAGAAGATATAGAACTGTCCCATTTTTTTTTTTTTTTTAGTCCAAAGGGGCAATTTGCCCAGAAGGACTATTAATTTCATTTTGGTATTTTGCGTTTACTCACTACAAGCATTCACTTTTCAAATTATTGCCACCAAATATTAGAGCCCTGTATTATATTTAAAGAAATTAAATAGTGAAGAATCTGCATAATGTATGCTTGTTTCTCGCATTGTGATAAAACAACGGTACGTAGTGCCATCCAATTTTGAATAACGTACGTCCTCCATCCGAATATAGGCAACTGGAAGCCCAAATTGGAATTTGAATTTGCTTTATTATCTGTTTCATATTTTGTAAAACTTTAATGAATTTTTTGATTAACAAACTCAACGATTTCAAAGAGATTGGCAACAAGCAACGTTGTAAACAAAAAAAAAACCTTTTCAAAAAAAAAAATCACTCCAGCACACGAGACTGTGTTTTGGAAATTCTAAAGATATGCTGATTTTAAAATTATTTTGGATATTGCTGTTGAACTGAATTTTATGGTTTAAGTGAGAACATGGTATTTAATAAATAAAGGTAGCATACAAAATGTTAAAAAAACCTTTGGATGTAATTTAAAATATGAAAACCTATCACATTTTCCCCTTTATTTTATTATTATTATTATTTTTGTGCAGTGTACCTTGGACCTTTTGAATTTGAATATAAATCTTGATCTTATATAAAGAGTTATTAAAAACGAAATGAGCGATTCACAATTAAGATCTACTGCAACGGAGACTATTGGGGTTTGCTATCTCCAAAATCAGTGGCTGCATGTCTACACTGACAACTCTATGCACACGGTGCTGGGAAATCAAAGCCATTGCTGAGGCTATTCAATAATTGCCAATTCGTAGACACTCTTTTGCAAATACAGCCATATTGTCTGATTCCATAAGTGCACTTTGAGCCATTCTGAAAATAAATACCAATAAAAAATCACAGCCTTGTTACCTTGATGGTTAATAAAGCAAGACCTAGAAATCAAGAGAAACTAAATTATAAAATCCACCATTAGAAAATGATTCCAAGAGAATTATAAACCAAATCCCAGTTTTCAGAAGTTGCAATAAACATAACTCAATTATCTCTAAGGTGTGATATTATGCAAAGATTTCATTTACCTTTGTACTTTATGTTTCCTAAGTGAAGAAGAGCACTTAAGATTTTAAGAATTTCCCATATTTCTTGATCAGAGAACATTAGAACTTTCATTGCTGATCTAATATCAGAGAACTCAGCTGTATCATCTCGACCTTCACAAGTTATACAGCCACCCTAAAAATAGCATGAAATAAATAAGATAACATAAAAAATTGAGCATGAAAACAAATAAATGATGTATAATAATTACAATGAAAATATCCATAACAGATACACATCCCACAATATAAAAAATGTTGCACCATATGTTATAAGACAAGGAAAATCAAAACTGATAAGCAATTTTATCACTGTTTATACAAATACATGTAACCCTCGTATAACACGGTAGATAGGTTCCTAGAAAATGCCATGTTGTATGAGACCCAGAGCAAGTATAAAAAGGGGAGTTACCTTCCAAAAACTTATTAAAAACAAATATTTTTTTTAATTATACATAAACAACTTAATTTTTATTAAAAATATATATGGATGTACAGCACAAAACAAAAAATATTACCTACTTTAATTTAACCCAACTTCAGTTTAATAAATTTCTTCATAGTCATTTCTCAGTATAATGAACAGAGAAAGTTTTTTCGGTGGAATGAAATCGCTTTCACTTTCAGAATTTCTTTCTTCATTTAACGTTCTTGCATTTTCTTCTCTCTTTCAAAAAATCTGTAATTTTTACTTTGCTCACTAGTATTTACCGGGTCATTTTAAAATTTTTTATATAAAGCTAGACAGTTTTGCTGCTCCCTTTTGAATTTTCGGCTTATTTCAGCAGTACGACCTGCACTCAAGAAAAATAACTTGAGGTTTTTAGCTAAACATAAGCCTTCTTTTAATGTTAAATTATTAACTTCACAATTTTCATCAGTGGTAGTGTCCTCAGAAGCGATTTCATTTACAGCGTCGGATGGCATTTCTATCAAATCTTCATCAAATTGTTCTTCCGCTAATAAATCTTGAATGTCTTCAATGTTAGCGGTGTTAAACAATTTTTAGACACCTTAAGTAAGGATGCAGTTTTTTTCATTTTTAGATGTAAAGGTTCTACTTTGCATTTGTTTTCCACCAAAGCCCAGGTTTGTCAGCATCCAAAACTTAAACTGCTGTGTATCCTTGTTCTTATATAATATTTTGAAATTTTTCAGGAAACATCCTAGCAGCTTCATATTCAGCTGATGCAGATTCTCTTTGAATTCTTATGCTATGAATTGCAAAATACTTTTTTAAATTTTCACACCAACCTTTACTTATCAGAAAATCTGGGTTGACAGAGAGTTTTCAATGTTCTTTGAGGTGCTTGAAAATTTTGAGTGGTTTTTGTTTAATGATATTACCATCCAACGAAATTCTTTTTGACAGCTATCATCAATCAAATGCTGAGTGACTTTTCCCTCTTCTTAATTATTGGTGCCCCCAGGGGCAGAGTGCATGTTCTGCGGATGTCAAAGATCCTGCAGCAACTGCACTTCTTATTTCTTTTTCATTTTCCTTAATAGTCCAGACTATTTCTTCATTCCAATTAAAAAATTTTCCAATGTGAGATGTCTTTTCTCATTTCAAAGATGGTCCAAGATTTGTATCTGTATACTTCTAAAGAAATGAACTTCTTCTTAAATGCTGTATTTTTATCTTTATCGGACATGTTTTGGGACTGAAACTTCATGTCTTAAAGACGGAAAAGTTATTATTTAACACACTGTGGCTCGAGCAGACTACCGACCAGCAGCATGAGACATTTTTGTCTTCAGGCCATGGAGACGATGATTCGAAGTTTGGAAGCCGAATTGTGCAGATTGTGTGTTTTAGAGCACTTATTGTGACCTCATGTTGTTCACCTTCTGCAATAGTGAGGTTTCTCCATTGTTATTTGGGGACATTTGTTCATACAGGCCATCTGAGGACATTTGTTCGTACAGGTAGTGGATCTTGGAAGACAACTGCCAAAACTTACGAAACAAGGATTTTTATGTGTTAAATGACTATATGAGTGCTCTGCACAATATGGAAAAACTTCACGCGGAATTCGTTAAATTTCTTCGGTTGCTTGGGCAATTTTCTTATTGTGTTAGAGCGAAACTGCGTTATAGGAAAACCATGTTGTAGGAAGGTTCTCGCAATTTATGAGTCGTGTTATAGCGAAACCATGTTACAGGATGCTGTGTTGTAGGAGGACTACCTGTAGTTTAATTTTAAAGTCAGTGAATATACTGAGTTCTACACATGATAGAAATGATTCAGAAATTTCTAGCTTATACACGAATTTTAAGAACTGAATTTCCTTCAACAGTTTGTCATACTCATAAGAATAATTTTAAGAAAAATAACTTTACCTTTATCTGACTAATTGGATAACCCATCATAATCTTCTAACAAGTAATGATATTTATAGATTTAGTTAGATGTCATAAGAACAATGGTGGTACAAAACAGTACATCCCATAGTGCATAGCAGTATAAATAATAGCATATATAGTACAAAGCAGTACACAGTTATTTAAAACAGTACATACACCATAATACATACCATACATTATGAATAATAATTGATTAATGCCTCTTGTTCATTTTGAAAGAATTCATTTAGACCGTGTGAGATAGTATATACACTATTTATCACTGTCAGCATTTTCCACTACTCAGCTAAAACACTTCTTTTTTAACTGCAGAATATTTTGAAATATCTTCACTAAATCCATTAAAGTTGGATTCAAATGTAATTTAAAATGCTTTCCCCCAACTGCTCAATCATTGATGAGCTACACAGCAATTAATACTCAAATACAGCAGTATTTCACAAATTTAACAATAATTTTTTCCCACACTGATTCCTGATGGTCAGACACAAGATTAGCTTGGTCAGACACATTGAATTAATGTGGTGGTCTATTAATAGCTAGACTGTACTAATTTCTAATTTCTATTGCTAGGATTGGCTGTCTTGGCAGAAGGAAGAAGCACTATGACATAAAGTAGTTAAAAGTTTGTGGTGATAAACTATCTGCTGATTAAGAAAACATTAATAAATTCAAGGAAAATTTCCACACACTAATTGAAAAGGCGATCTATCTGGGGTTCAAATTTACAACTGTCATGAGTTCGGTCTGAATTTTTGAATACTGTCTTCCAAAAAAATGTTTACATACATTGAAAATCGGCCTCATGCTATAACAGATGTTAAGAGAGAGATACAATCTTAACATTCAGCAATGCGACATGCAACCATAAGTTCAGCATTTTGTTCCTTCAGTAAAAACAGTTTCTATACTAGGACATAGTGGGATGTATATCTGAATCTTTAAAAAAAAATTTTAAAAAAAGACAAAGAAAAATCAAGCATATTAGCTTTATTCATCTATGTAACATTCAAGAAATTAGTTTCAAGAAAGCAAAGAAGAGAAGACAGGAAATTGTGAAATAATGGATTCATTAAATAAAATTTCTGGCTTCGAAGCAGTTACAGATGCTAATGTTGGAGAATGAATGTGGTTAGTTGAAAAATATAAACATTAGATTTGGTCTGGTTTGATTTATTTGTGTATGGCAAAGCAATTAAGGGCTGCCTAAGGGAAGGAATGCCTTTGTAGAGTACTTTCTCAGAGAAACTTGATTGTACACATGTTACACATAGGAAAAACCATGAAAATGTTCATGTAGCCAGTCTTTTTGCTGGGATTCGAACCCTGAACTAAGCTACCACAGTTCAGCAACTATACCATGCTGCCACTGGTGGGCTTTGTGAAGTTTAAGATATGGTGAAATAGTTGTAGTACTGAGAAGAATGCAGATAAAAAATGACGATGAATAATAAGTCAAAGAGATAGACAACAAAATTACAAAGATGATGCACAGTGAAGGACTAACAGTTGCTAAAGGAATGCTCTGTTACTAGGAGTAGCAAAGTGCATCGACTATGGACATATTGTTTCTCCATCACATACATGATGAAGCTGCATAATGATAAGATGAGTGTAAGATGCAATCTGTTTAGCATTAAGAGTTTTTTTTTTTTTTAACTACAACTACACATCATTTCTTCAGTTTTACATATGTAAGTTTTTTTAAATGTTTAACAATTATTTAGGGTATAAACTACACGTTTCCTAGTTTTGTGCTAGAACTTTCATTGCAGTAATATGCAGTAAAATATTATATGAATAACCCACTCCTTATTCCATAGAACTCAACATTTTCAGCAACTTGTTGTCCTCTCAGTCCACATTAAATCAAGTTTGCAAGACTTTTCTGTAATTTCGTGTACATGGCATAGCACATACCCATCATTAGAAATTAACTTATTTTCACATTAAACACCATCCAGACTTGCACATAAAAGTGCTGCATACAATAAAGTTCACTGAACCAAATTATAAGTATTTCTTGAATGACATACAGTATTAAGCATCAGTTCATTCTAAAATGATGTAACAAATGACAAAATTAATGAAGTTTAATCCATCAAATGTTAACTCAACATTTTGATTTAATAAAGAAAAACCTTTTAAAAGATCAGAATATCAGTTCAAATTTTAAAATACCTGAGTTAAATACTGATATTTAGATGCATCACTTATATCAAGTTTCTGTTTTTCTTCTCTTGAGAGACCAGCCAACATACAGTAAAATATATGATAATTTCTTTCATCTGTAGCCTAAAATGATATAGGAAAAAACGTTTTGATGTACAGAACAATAAAATCTGTATTTCTACTTTTATCATCACAGGCATTAAAAATAGGGAAGAAAAAAGTACAAAAAAGGATCTTAAAATAGCTAATAAATTGAGATTAAAAAATTATGCAAATGTAAAAGGTGAAGTGAATCATCACAATATTCAGCAAACAATTATCTGAATTTACCTGACCAACAATACGAGATTTTTCTAATAGGTATTGGTCTATTCTGGCACCTTCAATAATTCCTGCTTTATTGAAATGAATGTCTATATACTTCCCAAATCTACTAGAGTTATCATTTCGAATCGTTTTAGCATTCCCAAATGCTGTAAAATGAGAAATATATATAGATATAAAAGACAAAATGAATTATCAGAAAGCAATATATTTTGCAACATAAAACTACCATACTTAAATACATTTAAAAAAAAGCAAACAAAAAAAAAAACAGCTTTTTATCTATGCTCCATTCAATACTAATATATATATAATTTTTCTCATTATATTTTGTTATATTATCACTTCCCTCCCACATTTATAATCTTATAATGGTTATTTAGAAATACTGTCCGAAAAAATAATTGACAACCTTCTAAAATAGGATTAGCTTCTAAGATTTGTTGTTCAATCCATGAATGTTGACCACTAATAGCAGCAAGATATTGAAGAATCAATTTTGTACTTTCCGTTTTTCCAGCTCCACTTTCCCCACTGCAATTTGAAAGAAATATTTATGTAAGCAAATTCCATATTATCAATGAATTATTCCAAGTACAACCTAATGAAGTTTAATTAAATTTTTAAAAACATTATTTAAATAACCACCCACATTTATTATAATAACTAATTTAGTTACTATTTTAAGTTTTGCATGAGCATAAAAACAGAAGAAACTTGAAGGAACAAAATTCATTGATGATATAAATCAACAGCTACACTATTACCTTCAGACACATAATACATGCACGATTTCAAATTTCAAAATGCTACAATTATTAAAGTAGGCACTGCCCCCTTAATTAATGATTTACATAAAAGGAATTACAGCACATTTCCTAGTTCCAAAATACTTCAAAACAAAAAACATTCAGCAATTAATCTGAATGCAAAGAAACATATTATATATTCCTAACCTTATAATAATGCATTGATCTTGCTTGTATCGCTTCATATTGTTATAACTGTTGTCACCAATAGCAAAAATATGAGGAGGCAATTCACCAATTTTTTTATCCTTATATAATTTTATTTGCTCAGCAGTATATATTGGAAGGATTTGGTATGGATTGACAGCAACTAGAATAGAACCTGTATAAGTCTGTAAAATAAAGATAAAACTTATAAATATAGGATGAGCAAAAGTAAAAACTCATACATTTTTATTTAAAAAATTAAAAAATAATATTTTATTTCTCAAACAATAAGTAATTAAAAAATAAGTAATGTACAGAAAGATTTTAAGACTCTTAAATTAAGCAAATCTTAAGTTTTACGAGCTTCCTTTTGAAGTTTTATATTTGACAGATTGACAGAGGTTATATGGATTAAAAGTGTAATAAATTTAAGTCCTTTTAACCTGTTTTATGACCTACCTTTATATGGACTCCTGCAAAAAGGGTTTTCATTTCAAGATAAAATAATCTGAATTAATGAAATATTAGACAACTATTAGCAGCCCTACAGCATATTGATCACCTTGTGTTTTGAATGACAGTCCTGGCCATACTGAGTAGTCATGCACAATTCCAACAAATGCTGCAACACCAACAAAAGAAGTAAGAGGCTCCCAAATAACTTGACTGGAAATTAAGGGGAGTGCTTCTCAGACTATATCCCAGAAAAAGTGGTTCAATGGAATCTTTCACTGTTCTATTGAAATAACTCAGATTAATGAGGTGTGAAAATAATTAGCTTTTCCATTAGCATTGCATTGCAGATAAAATTTAGATACATTATGCAACCTAATTCGTTCCTAGAAAAAATTCTGAACAACATGACTTAGCCACGACAACTTGAAAAAGAAGTAATTTATTTAATAAGTAAGAGTCTCCATAGTTCTCAAGTTAATAATGTAAAGTAACAGCAGTCCTTTTTGTATGCTGCAAAATAATCATTGACAAGATGGCCTTTATGTCAGAGTTTGAAAAATGGTACTTTCAATAACACAAAAATTTATGTAATGAAGAAACTGAGTGACACACCTGGATAATTCAGATATACCTGCATAACTTTTTGGAATAACATCTGTACCATTACTGGTACTTAATAGCCTTCTGCATAATTAGTTCTCGGTTTTTGTCCAAGATGAAAAAAATTCTTTCATCATTTACATTATCAACACTTAGCTGGTTGACAACATCAACACGGTGAGCTGATGTTTGAATCTGCATTCCCTAATCCATGATAAATGGTAAAAATCATCAGGGCAGGGAAAAGTTCCTGATGTTTTATTTTTAATCATGTACTAGCATTTAGAAACTTAATTATTGTTTAATTTTTACCACTAACAATAGGTGCTGTCAAGAGTTTTCTCAAAAAAGATATAAACGTAATCTAAAACTGCAGATAGCTCATAAGACTGCACTTTTTAAGCAAAACATTAACAGAAAAACTAGAATTTTATAATTAATAAAGTTTATAAATTTACAAAATGCTTTCTTATTAAGAATCTACTATTTAATGCAACTCCTCATAACTCAGGAATTTGATCTAACCTCCATTTGAGTAGTTGGCAAAGATATTTAGCATTTTGAAAATATATATGCAAATTGAAAACTTGTGTTTATTCATTTTTCAAATTTGAAAACTTTGCTACGAAATGGCATGTCATAAACAAAACCAATAACAATAACAGCAGTTACTTAGCAGTTTGAAACATTTCAATGCACTTAAAGATTTGCATTCACAAGTGGTTAAAAATAAGGTATTTTGCAACGAGTTACGTAGAACTAAGGAATAAATAAATGATGATCATTACAAAAAAATATTTGTTACAGATATCTTTAGCAATCTGCATAAATTAAATTTCAGTATTTAGCTGAATAAAGGAACATTTTTATAATAATATGCATTTTATTTAGCTGAATAAAGGAACATTTTTATAATAATATGCATATTTATAATAATATGCAGTACGCTTCTGAATATGTAAAATAATTAATGACCAAATAACACTTTTACACGGGTAACTTAACTCATTCCAATGACATTCAGCAATAACATTTTTTTCTATTGTCTACAACATAAAGAAGTATGAAAAAACTAATAATAAAAATTACCCCTCCCTAAGAAAAGTGTTCTTATTAAATTTATATATGTATGCTCCATTTCTGATTGGCCGAATAAGGCAATTAAGTAAAGATAAAATACTAACAAAATTCAGATTTCTTAATGGAAAGTTTGGCCCAGTTACTTCTGAAAAGTTCGTTAGTACCCAGTTTTATATATTTTGTTAAATTTCATGCTCTATGCAAAAAGCCAGACTTCATTAACTAAAGCTGCATTACTACTGCAGAGCTGAAAAACTTTTCTCCACAAATATGAGGAAACATAAATGACTGGTACTTCTTTGCTATAAAAGTTTCTTTTTAATCTAATAACCTAATGCAAAATTTCTTAAAAATTTATTTTTTAACTGAATCCAAATAGTTTTCTGTATCATTAAAGGAAAAATTATGAAAATAACAGAATAGCTAATAAACTACTTTTGGTGTGTGTTTAATTATGGCAAAGTACACTAGGGCCATCCGCCTAAGGGGAGGGATGCCTTCGTGGAGCACTTTCTAAAGGAAACTGGCTCGTATACACGTTACACATGGGGAAAACCACGAAAACACCCATGCAGCCAGCCCGTTTGCGGGATTCGAACCTCAGACCGAACTACCAGTGTTCAGCGACTTTACTGCTCGGCCGCTGGTGGGCCTAAACTACTTTTGGACAAAAGAGAAGTGCAGCATTAGTAAATCTTAAATGATATATTAAAATATACCATTTTAAACACAAGTGAAATAAATAACCAAATTTAAAACAACAGCAATAACAACAACACAAGCTTACGTAAATAAGATTTTCATTGTAGCGTATTAAAAGATTTCTTAAAATGCCTGCTTCATGGAGATCTCCTAAAGATATCATGTCTTCAACACCCTGAACTGAAGTTGGATGCATGGCTTTAATTCTCCTTTCTGGAGTAAGCCACTGGTCCTAAAATAAAAAGTGAATATAAGGTTAGCATTCAAAACCTGCTGAAAACTACACTCAAGAGCCAAAACATTATGACCAGCCCTACATTTTGTGATGAATGCACCTGGATGACGTGGAAGGCACATGATCAGGTGGAAGTGGTATTTAACTGCTGCCAGAGAGTCTGAAGAATCATTCTTTCACTTACTTCTGTTTGTGATGGGAAAGGCAGCGGATCTAAGCGACTTTGGTAGAGATTTGCTGACCAAGCGTCTTCGCTGGGCCCGGGAACATCGCGACTGGTCCATGAATCAGTGGGAGAGAGTTGCCTGGTCAGATGAATCATGGTTTGTCATTCATCATGCTGATGGCCGTGTCAGGATACGCCGTCTTCCAGGCGAACAGTTGCTCCCCCAATGCACAGTAGGTCATACACAGGGCGGTGGTGGCGGTATTATGCTCTGGGGGACGTTCTCTTGGGCGTCTCTGGGACCCGTGGTTGTGGTAGAGCAGACCATGAATGCTACAGGGTATCTGAACATCATTGCGGACCAGTTGCACCCTTACATGGCCTCTGTTTTTCCTGGAAATGGAATGTTTCAACAGGACAATGCCGCATGTCACGAGGCTAAAATTGTGTTGGAGTGGTTCCAGGAACATGATGCTGATTTCCAGTTAATGTCCTGGCCGCCTAACTGACCGGATCTCAATCCGATAGAACACATTTGGTATGTCATGGAACAGCAGCTCAGAGGTCAAAGACCACCAATTCGCAATATCTCGGATTTGCATGACCGTTGCTACAACATCTGGTTCAATCTGTCTGCGGCCATCTATCAAGGACTTGTGGCATCCATGCCAAGGGGGGGTTGAAGCTGTGTTGCGCACCAAAGGTGGCCCAACTCATTATTGACAGGTGGTCATAATGTTTTGGCTCTTGAGTGTATAACGTTTAAAAAACTAATACAGTTAAAGCTCTAAAAACTAAAACAGTTAAAATACTAATATAGTTAAAGCTCTAAAAACTAAAACAGTTAAAATACTAATACAGTTAAAGCTCAACTATCCATCATTCAACTAACTGAAATATTTTAGAATTTTAGAAGCCTCTTCCTTTTTTTTTAATTACAAAAATTAAGCAAACAAAAGGCTTGTAAATCCATCATAAAACACATCTACAACAATGACATGAAACAAACAAAAACTGTCACCAAACAGTTTGATTTAGGGCCAATAACAAATTGTGAATACAAATTCTTAAATTTATGCAAAAAATTATTAGCAATCTAGAAGATATTAATTTAGAAGTAAAACAACAAAAATCAGCATAAAATTTGCACATTTTTACAGGCCTAGTTTCGATGGTTTTAACAAACCATCATCCTCAGCTGCCAAAGCGCAAATGTACGAGATAAGATATAGTGATTTGATAAGAATGGCTGGACAGGAGTTAAGCTACTGATGATACTGATGATCTATTAATGATACGAGAACTAAAACATAATTTCCTTAAAGGCTGAAAGGCAAAGATGGATTGGAATTAGGGTCGTTAACTAGAACCAAAAGATTTTTTTAATGTAAAATGCCTCTAGAAAATTTAATTCACCAATGGAAGTTTTTTTTGGATAATTTTGGCTGCAAAAAAACTGAAAGTGTGATTTTTGGACCAACAATGCTGGGTAACAGCAGACCTCTGCGCTTCCTATTTTCTTACATAGGCCTCACGTTGCAATGTAAATTCATTCACATTGATCAAACTGAGAAAGCCTTAAAATGTTGTGTTAAGAAACATGAAGCATATGTTAGAAGAATGGAAACAGAAGTTTTCTGTTGCCCAGCATTGTTGGTCCGAAAAATCACACTTTCAATTTTTCTGCAGCCAAAATTATCCAAAAAACCTCTTTCATTGGTAAACTAGATTTTCTAGAGGTGTTTTACTTTCAAAAAAAAAAAAATCTTTCTGTTCTAGTCAACCTTCCTAATTCTAATCCATCTTGGCCTTCAGCCTTTAAGGAAATTATGCTTTAGTTCTCGTTTCATCAATAGATGGTGAAAGTAGCTTAACTCCTGTCCAGCCATTCTTATCTTATCTAATCACTATATCTTATTCCATTCATTTGCGCTTTGGCAGCTGAGCTTAAAATTATCGAAACTAGTCCTGTGAAAGTTTGCAAATATTATGCCGATTTCTGTTGTTTATGACTTCTAAATTAATACTTGTTTGGCGTGTTATTTTACCTTAATTACAGTTGGTAATATCCCAAACAAATCTGATTTCGTACAATGTCCATGGCAATCAAATGATAAGTGCCTTGGTTTCATGTACACTTGATTAATACTCAATCAGCTGGAAGTTCCAGCTTTAGTTCCTGTGAAGAAGGTTGTTAAGTTTACTGTTATTTATCTGTTCCAGTGGTATAGTGAGGGAGGCAATGGGGTGTATGATGCCCCAGGCGCCGCTCGCAGAAGGGCGGCAAATGGTCTCCAAATGAGATTTTCATCATATCACTGTGGTTTTTCCGGGGGGGGGGGGTGAAGGGGAGCCAAAAAGGTATTTTGCCCTGGGTGGCATTTATGCTCGCTACTCCACTGATCTGTTCCCCCTTGCATTTTGAAAAATGAATAAATACATAAAAAAAATTTTTTTTAAAAATTCAGACCTGCCCCACACAGAACAGCACTTAGTGGTGTATTTATAAAATTACAGGATCCTGACATTAAGAAAAGTGTGCATTGTTTGAAATGTACTTTTTTAAAAATCTTACATAGTATTAAATGTAATCTTTTGATATTTAAGCTGGTACAAATAAGATGTGAGTGTTTTTATAATTTTAGATCAGTATTCCGCTCCCCACTCATTCAGCTATTTTACAAGTTGCATTTTTTACATGCTCAACTGTATGTAATTTTCACATATTTTGCATTTAGCTTTTCCTGAGCTTTCCTCATGGTTGAGCTTTTACTGTAGTATAAATAAGCTAAATAACCTTTCCGTCATCATCAATAACTTGTATCCTCCTTCCTTCAGCAGAAGTCACTCTTGCTCCAATAGCAACATCAAATTCTCTTTTAGTCTGGGGCTCAATCCAGATGTAATCTCCCTAAATAAAAATAAAACATTTTAATTTGCATGACAATATAATGAAAATATACATAAAATCTTTTACACATTTAAATAAAACAATATCTACAGTATACATGACTAGACCTTTCAAGAAAAGTTTTCAGAGATGATAACTCTGGAAGAGATTACAGTTAAAGAAGGGACATTCATTACAAAAATAATTCTTGCCTTAGCTTACACTGTAAAACTGAAAAGATACTTTTCATTTCCCACAAATTTTTCATCTTAAAATATATAACTATGCACAAAGTATATTAAGTCTCTTTTTTTTTTAACCCATTTGTATGACAGCAATTTTATAAACAGTTAATAAAATTTATTCTGTAATACCTAATCAAAGGTTATTGAAATGGGCATTGGGTTATTTATAATATTGCAGTATAATATGCACATACTCAAAACCAAAGTACCTTGTAAGAAAAAAAATAATTTATGATTTTCCTTATAGCATATTCTGAGGTGTAATTCAAATCATTAGTACCACTAGCAATATATTTAGTTATTTTTAAACTTTCCATACTTAAGAGCAAATTAAAATATTCAGAATTATACAGAAAAATAATAGAAAATTAATCACTATACTATATATACAGTGACAATGAAACTAGCTAACCTTGCATACAGAATCATTGTGACACATGGTCTCACTCACTACTCTGTATTTTGACTTCAACAATGCACCATAATTCTAACTCATTATTCTGAATATAATCAACAGGAGTAATTTGAGTATATACATTTTATGTATTCAGATTATGAAAAACTACTACCAGTGGCAGAAAAAGAAACTTCTGTGCCTCATGGCAGGCTGCATCTCTGATACCCTTTAACATGATAGCTTATATAAGATTCTGAGATACATAGTATCCTACTCAGTCTAGTATCCTGGAAGGCCATCCAAATAGATTCTTGCACTTTAATTCTGCTCTGCTTGACAATTCATATCTCTTCCCAACGAATCAGATCTGCTAGCAATATCACAAAAATATCAGATAAGCATTAAAACTGAAATTAAATTTAGTTTCTTGCTATAAAAGATGCAAGTTAGTATTACATGGGATGTTTCAAGTTAATTTGTCTTGCCCTTTACTTATTAGATTGATACCATTTTATTTAACTGCATACACACTAATTTTAGGACACTGCACTATAAACTGTAATTTTTTGCATTCCACAGGCATACCATAAGTTACAGATACATTGGCTGTTTTCATGCACAGGTTTAAAGAATCAGATTCTGTATTTTGCAGAATTTATGTTTTCTCTGGTTTCTCAAGAAAGCAGATTTTTTGGGGGGGAACTGCAGGCCTTCGCCCATTAGGGCTGCTTGTGCCACCGAGTTTAGTTTTAATATTTTTAAAGTATGTAGCATAATGCAAGGGTGATTGGAATCCCATTTCAAAACTCCTGAAAAATACTGTTCGATAAAAATCCATATAATTTCAAATAAGAACATTTATGTGGCACACATATATATTTACATATATTATCTGAACTTGTGTACAAATTTGTATACAAAACATATAAGAATTTTTGCACAAATTTGTATACATAGATATATATAAATAAGTATATAGATTTGTGTAAAGAGAATAATATTTCAGTCTGTGCAGCATCTAAGCCCGAAATTTTTCCAGCATTGACCCCTTTTCAAAGAATAGTTTTCATTAATGATCCCCTTAGGAATCAGATTAAAGAGAGAAATAAACTCAGAAAAAGATGGTGCATCTCTTGGGACCCGAATATCATAAGAGAGCTGAAAAAGCTTCATAAAATTATTAAAGAGAAATTTACAAATATAGAGACGAGAAGTGGCATGACAAAATCGCCAGTTTCAGTGAACCAAATAAAACACATTTTGGTCATCTGCTAGAAACCTGAAAAGAAAATCCACTTGTAATAAGCCTATGGTGAAAATAAAATTGCCTTGACTAACAAAAATAAACTTGATATAATGACAGATCACCTAGATAAGCAATTTATGCTGAATCTGGAACCCTGTGACCTTTTTCCTATGACATCAGGTATTTTATACACGACTGGATTAATGGACCCAGCCCAAGAAGCAAACCTGATTTAACTATGCCTATTGAAGTGGAAGACATTATTAGAAAATTAAAGAGCAGAAAAGCACCAGTTTATGACACAATCGCGAATATTGCAATAAAAAATCTGCCATTAAATATTGTAACTAAATATACAAGTATTCTTAATGCCCACATAGTAAATAATTATTTTCCCCAAAAAATGGAAAGTTGAAAAAGTCATAATGTTACCACAGCCAGGTAAGGATATCATAAAACCTGAGGATTTTTGACCAGTTAGTCTCTTACCAGGATTAGAGAAGCTATATGAGAGAATCATATTATGAAGAATGGATCCCTATCTGACCAAGCTCCTGCCTGAGAAATTAGGGTTTAGAAAAACACTCTCAATTACCAAGCAACTTGTTCGCTTGAAAGAATTTATTGGATCTGCACTTCAAAATTATCAAAAGGTTACCTTATTCATGCTAGACGTGGCAAAAGCCTTAAGGCCCGTCCACATGACTACGCTCGAAACATAGCTGACAAACGGACTTTTACGTTACCAGCGAAAAAGCATCCAAACGAGTACGCTTGCGAAGAGTGCGTTTAACCAATACAATTATTTTGCGCAAAAATCACGTGCAACTTTAATACAGCATCAATGAAGCTGTATTTTGTTACTTCGCTGTGCTTTTATATGTTTGCGGCAAGTTGCCCGAATCACATGATTTTTTGATAGCTCAAACTTTACTTCATTAAGCAGAGGCAAAATTGCAAAAATATGACAAGAATAGTTCCGAAAGATTAATTTAGAGCGACCTGTTCAAAAAGATTTTTTTTTCTTTACTTCCTTGTTTGCGAAATGAATATCCGGAATTATTAAATTCCTACCATTAGCTCACACTCTCCGTATATCTTGTTCAAATTTTCAGTCGTTAATAAAATACTTTTCTTTCATCCACTCAAGTTCAAACACAGTTTTTTTAAACTTGTAATGGATGACACTTGATATTAATACAGCTTTTTCACATATTGAAATTTTTTAAATTAAAAAAAATTCTGTTTGTATTTTTATTTATTTATTTGTATTTTTTAAATTTTTCTTTGTGGACCTAAGTAGGAGTTGACTTAATTTTTTTTTAATATATTATTTGTTTTTTAATAACTTCAGGATGAGTATCGACCAGTTTGACAGACTTGCAGATTCTATATTGTATGAAAATTAGGATTCATAAAATTGGTTTGGAATACAGTATATAAAGAGAATTAAATTACTTAATTCTCTTAATATACACCATCCACCATATAATTAAACCAACTTCATATTTTTAACTCCCCCTCCCTTGGTCTTTTGTTTTTCTTTTTATTTATTTTTGAATTTAGAATGAGGTTCAAACTTTGGACAGTTTATGGGAAATTATGTGCATGATAAAATATGCAATAAATTAAAAATAAAGAGAAAATTTATAAATGATATATGATAAAGAGATGCAGATGTATTATTACATTTGGGTTTCTATTTGCAATGCACATTTTTAAACTAAATTAAAAACAATAATAATAATGAATAAAATAAGAAATGAAAAAATAATAAGTAAAATAAGAATATAATGATTCATGATTAAATATAAGAAACATGTTTCAAAATAAGAAAAGCTAACTGTCTACGGGTGAGGTTCGAACTCGCCACCTTTCCATTTGCAAAGCGGCGCGATGACCACTCAGCTATCTGAGATAGCAGTGTTTATGAAAAATAATGTAACAAGTAGAAGTCACTGCAAAGGTAATTTAATTAAACTTCAATAAATTATTGCTGTATGACACAAGCTGTAACTTTCCTCCAAAATTTTGTAATTGTATTTTATTGAATACTCTTTTACAGTCAACTGCTTTATTTTAGAAGTTTTTATATTGCTGAAGTTAGTTTTTGGTGTATTTAATATTGGAATATTTATAGAGCTTTTTATTACACATGATATAGCCAATATTTATAATAATTACGGAGAATTTTGTAAGGCAGAAACTTTGATTTCGTGGAAACTGTAATTTATTTAGGTTCCTATTACTTAGGGTGTTATAAACAGGTGAAGCATATGGATATACTGGCCGGATCATTGCTTTATAAATATACAGTTTTCCCCTTTAATGAGAATTTGAAATTTATACTTATATATACGACTTGAGAAATCTGAAGATGGCGTGAACAATGCTGATTATTTTTTTGCTGTATACGGTTATGATATTTCTAAGCAAAAACTCATCTCTGTGTGGTCCTGACGCCATATTGAAATGGGTAAGCAAGTAGGTTTTCTGATTATGACACGTAATAAGAATTTGGTCGGCTATTGGCTATTCGTGCGCGTCGCGGGCGGAAAAGTTGAACAGGAGTAAACTCAGTTTTACGTCTTCTGAATCATGTGAATTTACGCCAGCGTCAAAAAAGTTGCGTCAACTGCGTCGCGAGTGTACTCGTGTGGACGGGCCTTTAGACCGTTTCTGGCATGAGGGGCTTATTTTCAAATTAATCTGCTTTATTTTCAACAGAGATTTAATTCTGCTCATCTGTTCATTTATAAAGAATCGAAATTTTTTTTGTAACTATTGGTAATGACAGCTCCACTCAGAAGAGACTTAAAGCAGGGATAGCTCAAGGGTCTATTTTAGGCCCAATTTTATATTTATTTTATGTGGCGGATTTTCCACATGCATTCTCTGATTTCAACAGTTTTGTAGGTTCTGACACTGATGATACAGTGCTTGCCATAAAGTCACTAAGTGTTGAAAATGCCATCAATAAACTCCAGAATGTAATGCCACAGATAAAACACTCGTGCACTGTCTGGAGAATTTCAATAAACGTGCAAAAAATTGCACTTATTCATTATACAGAAGAAAGTCAAAATTAATACCAGACTTATGCTTTTTAAGTGAAACAGTGAAAGTGCCTACA